GTTTGTTGTCTCCAGTCAAGCTTTCCACTTAAACTGTGTTGCTAAATTGAAAGTCTTACGACTACTTTCTGTGATTGGCTAGGAAAGTACAATTAGAAGAATTTCTCTCTTCAGAAGATTATATGTTTTTAAAATCACTGTACTTGTTTCTCTGTCACAAATTAAGCAGTAATTACTTTCAAACCTTGGAAGCTGATAGGTAAAAGCCTTTTTCTTCAGATTTTCCTTTCTCATTTAATCACATTATGATTCTTGATCAAACTTTCCATTGTCTGGAAGATCTGATGTGATATCTTTTTCATTCTGTTAAACATAGGCAGAGGAAGGAGGTCCGGTGAGTACCAAGAACTGTAAACCTGGCATGGGAGTGGGGTAGCTCTTGTGTAGGTATATACAGACTAGATTATGCTCTTAAGAAAAAGCATACTAGAAGAAATGTGCTTTGTTGGCCCTTTGTGAAGGACCTTAATTAAAAGTCACTCTTAACTCCTGGGCTGGGAACAATTTCTAGCTTGCCACTACAACTCCTCCTGCTGCTAATGAGCATGCTCCTTGCAAGAACTCATTTCTTCTGACAGTTAAAACTGCATGTAAGAGTTATTTCTGTTCACCTCTCTCTCCACGTTTAACCCTTACTGCCCAAGTTCAGATTATGCAAGTAGACTGTTCAGTGCTTTCTGTCACTGATGGGGAAATTAAAAACGCTTCAGGGTAACAGGAATGATGATTTTAGCAAAAAGTAAATGATCAAAGTTTAATTTATTCAAATATGGACAGTAGATGAGGGTTCCTTTAGTGTTGACCATGTTTGAATCTTTTCTTTCTAGTAGTCCTTTTTTAATTGACATAAAATTTATAATTGAATGGTTGAATTATTTAGTTAATTATTACGTAATTAGAATCCCTGCCCTGGACATCTGTTTCTCTTATTTAGGCAACTCACCCCATGGCACAAAGTTTCATTAAGTAATTAGCAGAGGAGATGTAAAATTTCTTATGCAGACATGATGATCCTGTAGACTGCTATTTATTTCATTAGCTTCTAATTAAAACACTAAGTTGACTTGTGAGAAAATGCCAAAGAATGGTTTGCTTCACCAAGAAGTTATATATAACACAGTCACCTTCCTAGATGGCAGCGTGTGAAGGGTAGTAAACAGTTGAAGAAGCTTATTTTCCCTCTGTCTTTGTGGTAGGGAGCACTAGAGGGCACAAGGATTCCTTTCCATTTAATAGATCATAGACTGAGTGAAGGTTAAGTGGGTGTATTCCAGAGCATAAAAGTTATGGATCTCTTAATGTCTGGGAACAGTTCCTTGATTCTAAAAAATAACACATTCTGGTAAACATTTCGTCTGTCTTGGTTTAGAATCATTGAGGACTACTTCTCACGGCTCAGACTTTCTATACATGGTTGGATGCCTTTGGTCTTAGACTTGTAAAGATGCCGAGACGTTGACTCTCAGAGGACTGACTAGGGCTGAGTGGTGTTCTTTTAGGATGGGCAGTGCAGTGCAGCCAGAAGCTATTGGCAGCATCAGAAACCCCCCATAGGACCCATTATTTCAGGAATATCCTATGCCTCCTGCCTACCAGAACAAACAACTCAGTGGTCTTTATGTATAATGTGGAATGGATAAAGGAAAATTTCAGCATGAGACCTAAGCATAGACTTATTCCTTAGTATTATTATTGAATGCTCATTGGTCAGACAGGTGGGAAAGTAGAAGAAAAGAGATCATGCCTAGACAGGTCTCCTAATTTGGTGGGGGAGGTCTCATCAAGTGGGTTGTTTGCTGGTGACTAATGATGATTATGATAATATAAATACGAATTCTATTTCCCAATCTTAGGAATCATACATTAAAAAATATTTTCTTCACATATCACTCCCTTGCTTATTTGAAAATAATTAGCTATGGATAGCATTGTCACACTGAAAGCAAATTTGTCTTCTCCTTGTAGCAAAGGTTTGCTTTAGAAATGGAGATGGGTGCTATGCAGGTAGACAGTACGTTTGACAGTTTGGGACAGACTCATGTGGAAAATAGCTTTGAATGTGAACTCTGCATTTCCAGGCACACGCTTGGTTCTATCAGATGGTGGTGTGAATGAAAGAAGCTTAGGGTCTGAGTGGTCCTCTTTTACATTAGAGGTGTGCTGGCATCATGTCAAGGCCCTCTAGATTTGCAATATTAACAATATTAATTGTTAATAATTACTAATTATTAATTTAGCAATATTAACAATGCAAAGGCTTCAACTGCCTCCCCTTCTTCTGTGGACCCTTCTCTTTCTCCTCCCCCACCCCAGCCCCGGGATCAGGGGATAATTTCTTATAAGGATGCTCCCATTTAGGACCTTGTCTCAGAACAAACACCATTTTTTTTGTTCAGGCTTTTACTCTAGAATTTTCTCTTCTTGTTACCAAAAAAAAGTATGTCTAAATAGGGTTATTAATACAAATAGTGCCATTGCTGGTTTGTGAAAAAAGACCTCTAGAGAGCAATGTGGCTCATACAAGGTGAATTCCTTTTGGCTGGCTGCTTTGTAGTGATTTACATTTAGATTGTTGCTTGTTGCTCTTGTAGGGGAAGGGGCCTGGCATGTCTGTGGCTGCCTCAGTCATCACACCGACTGGGTTAGGACAGCTTCGTTCAGCAGAGCTGGGAAATAGGCTGAACTTGCTTTCAATTGTTTTCATCAAAGGCCTTGTTTAGTTGGATCGTATTGGGGGAAAATGTCACGTAGGACTGGAAGAACTAAATGAGATAAAAAATGAAGTTTACAATTGCTAAGAATCATGCGTGCCTTCTGTAAGTCAGTGCACAATGCAGTGGGCTGGGGGCTCTGAGCAAACCATTAGCATCGTCACTTTTGGTGCCAGTGAGTGCTCTTCGACAGCATCTTCTTCACACAGTGGGAGGCTGGGGAAAGGGATACAGACAGACTTCATTGAAATACATCTAATATTTGTTAGCTTGTTTACTGAGTGAAGTGGATTAAAATTGTCCACTGTGATTGTAAAAAAAAAAAAAAAATACATCCAATAGTCTGCTGCTTCTCACTGGAGCCACTTTAAATAGAAAATCAGGACTGCCTAGGAGAAGATTCATTCATTCAAGAAATATTTACTGAGTTATAGGCATGGGGGGCATATTAGTGAACAAAGCAGGTGAAACTTCCTGCCCTCCAAGAGTTTATATTCTTCTGGTGGATCATGTTAAAAGATAAGTGCTATGAAGGAATAAAAGGCAGGAAAAGGGAGGAAGAGCAGTGCTAGGGGAAGAGGGGACAAGAGTGATCTAGATAGAGTGATCAGGGAAGAAGATTCATTGAAAATGTGACTTCAAAGACTTAAAAGAGGTGAGATCCCATGTAGATCTGGGTGAAGAGTGTTCCAGACAAAGGAAACAGAAGGTGCAAAGGCCCTGAGAGGTAGGAGGCAATAAGGTGGCTAGTGTGGATGGAGTAAAGGGAGAGAGCAGCAGGAGATGAGGTGAGAGAGATGAGAGGAGGGCAAATCATACAGGGCCTTTTGAGGGTCATAGTAAGTATCTGAACTTTTACTCTGAGAAGGGGAGCTATTAGAGGGTTTTGAGCAGGGAAGTAAAGTGATTCTAGCTTGATTTTTAACAGGATCACTTGGCTGCTGTGTGAAGAATAGATTGTAAGGGTAAGGGAGTGAGTAGGGAGACCAGTTAAAAGACTGTTGTACTAGGCTGGGTGAGATGGTGATGGCTTAGATCAGCATGGTGGTGGTAGAGGGGTGAGAAGTGGTGGGATCTGGATCTGTTTTTTTTTTTTTTTTTTTTTTTTTAATTTATTTTTCCCCCAAAGCCCCAGTAGATAGCTGCATGTCATAGCTGCACATCCATCTAGTTGCCGTATGTGGGACGCGGCCCCAGCATGGCCGGAGAAGCGGTGCATCGGTGCGCGCCCGGGATCCAAACCCGGGCCACCAGCAGCGGAGTGCGCACACCCAACCGCTAATTCACGGGGCCGGCCGTGGATCTGTTTTAAAGAAGATGGTTTGGGAGAGTCCCTTCCAGAGGTGGTTTAGCACAAACCACTTTGGGACCTTGACTAGAGGTGCATCCTCAGTATGCAGTGGTGGCAGTTCCGGAAGTACAGAGCCCCCAAGTGCTGCCTTTTTTTTGAAGGCAAGAATTATTTACAGTCTGCCTATCACATGAACTTTATTGCATCTTAGTTATTTTTTTACAGGTTATACAGAACGCAAGTCGTCACACACTACACCTCCCTCCACCTGCCAATTTGGCACCAACCCTAGAGTTGTGGTGCCAGGTGCTGCCTCTACCACCCCACAGTGGAGGCCATGGGGCAGCTTGCTTGTGAACAAGGAAGCATACTCCCTTCACTCTGAATAAAGTTGGAATAATTTTCAGTGTTAGAAGCTGATTCTTGTATGTTTAGGAGTAGAAACATGAGTATTTTTACTAGAAAAGATTATGGATCACCCATCAAACATTGGCTTTAGGTATGGAATTGTGCTGAGCATGGCAATATAAAGAAATATAGCCCCTCTCTAAAGAATTACAGTCTACTTGAAGACAAGCAACTGTCCAAGAAGGGGTAAATAACCAATATAAGCAGTAAACAGCCAGGGCCAAAAGAAGGGATACAGATAAAGAGAGGATCCCATTTCCAGCTTGAATGGAAATGATCCCATTTCCAGCTGTCTCCTCATAGAGACAGCTGTTTTTAAAAACAACAACGTAGAACTGATTTTTGTTGAGCCACCCCACCCTCCTCTCCTAGCTCAGGCCTAGCTTGTTAGAAGTCAACCCTGAAGGTACATGCTTGTCACAATTTGTGCAGTATAAACCAGGCCAGTCAGAACTGGCTCTTGCTTACACAGGTCCAGTTCCTGGAAAAGGGCAGTAACCTGGTCAGAAGAATGCCTGGCAGTACATTAATCAGCTGTGCTTGCCAGGCCAAGTACTAACCCTGACCCCCAAATGTCTTCTTTTGGTCAGATTCACAGTCTGAGAATGAGGCTTCGCCAGTGAAACGGCCACGACTACTGGAGAATACTGAACGATCCGAGGAAACCAGCCGATCTAAACAGAAGAGTCGACGTCGGTGCTTCCAGTGCCAAACCAAACTGGAGCTGGTGCAGCAGGAATTGGGATCGTGCCGCTGTGGTAAGCATCTCCCCCAGTGGCCTGATGGAGACTGTGTCCTTGACACCCTGATGGAGCTTTGGAAATTATTCCTAAGAGACTGAAGTCCTTCATTCTTCTCCTGAGTACCTCTTCTGCAAGCTGTTGGTTTGGAGCTTGAGAAATCAGGAGAAGATTCTTACTTCCAGACACCCTTGATTTCCTCTCACACGTACAAAAAAGGCAAAAATATCCCCAACTACTCTTACACGTGTTTCTTTAGAGTTGCATTGTCACTGCTTACTGCTTTCAGCTTCTCCCCACTGCGTATTACTCTGGCTCCTCCTCGTTGATGACTTATTTAGAGATTAACCAAATTAGCGAAATTCTGGGATATGTACCATGTAATTCAGACATTAAATTAATTTTGAATGAGCTTCTTACTATGTATAATAAATGGAAGATTTCTCCCCCCATATCCCTTTTAAATTAAAGTTTGGCTAGAAAATTATTGAACCATAATTTATTGTCAGTTAACCCTTTGAAATAGCTTTAAAGTAACCTTTCCTTCTGTATTATCCAGTGTAATACGAACTCTTAGAATTGCTGTACAGGGAGGTATTTTTAAAAATTTTATGCCTACCCACAATGGAACAAAACTGGGGCCTGTCGTGTAACATAGGAACAAAATTGTGTAGCTGCGTTATTTCGGCTAACTTGTAGTTTTCCTGTCCCTGTTTTTATTTCCTGATTTTAAAGCATAGTATTATAAAATTGTTCTGTGGGACAGAGGTGTCATCAGGCAGACTTTGAGGCCTGGCTCTAGCCTCGGCGAATCCTATATCCTTTATCCTTAGGAGTAAGTTTTAGAAGCCTCCTTTCACCTCTGGGATAGCTGTAGATATCCTACGAGTACTGATGCTGGTGGTCAGGACTAGATGATCGCTCAGCAGTTATAAAGTTACAGTTACTCAAAGTCCTTCATCTTCTGAAGAGACAGCCATTGCTGCTCTTGTCAATTATCTGCCCTGTTGGAAATGAGGAGGAAAGGAGGGAGTACCAGCTTCTCATGGAAACGAAGTTAGAACTCCTTTTCCTGTCATGACTAGGAATCTGTTTGTTGCACACTCTGGTATGTGGTATTTAAGATCAGAAGCTTATATTCAGCTTCAGAAATGGGGACCAGCATGGGGCATCCAGGTGTCACTGGACGAGTTTTTATTTTTTTAGCTTGGCATTTAGTTATCCTATTAAATGTTTGAGTGGAAGTGTAAAGAAGAGAGGTAGGATGAGAGATGGGAGAAGAGGCTGTCAGCAGTTTTTTCAAACTTTAGTTGTGTTCATGCGTGTGGCATGGCGAAGTGAGCCCAGAACCTTCTTCTTAGGCTGCATCTTAACCCTGCCAGGTAATTTTAAATTCTTGGCGAGGTAGAGAAGGAATGCTGTGGTTAGCCAAGGAAACTCTAGGGCCTAATGGCTAACCAACTTTGCCCATATTGACGGGTTTGTCTAATCTTTTATAGTCTGCAAATTCTTGCTTTGGTCTTTGAACTATTGGGGGATTTCAGTAGTTCAGTCTTTTAGCAGTGTTGTGAAGCCTACCTGACCATTTGGCTGTTGCTTTTATAACACGGGCCTTTGGTTGTTCCTAAATTAGAATCATGGGATTTCCCTGTACCTTATATTCTTGTTTCCTTCTTGAAAGTAACTGAATCCTGGCTATACACAGGATTTGCCCTAGTGGATCAAGCCATTGGTCCATCAAGTGTGCTATCTTGCCTCTGGCAGTGACTAATACCTCCTCTCCTTGTCAGGCAAGCAGCGAGAATTCACAGTTTAGCGCTGAGAGATCCAGAGGTGTTGTAACCAACCAGAGTTGCCCAATTTACCCTTCAGCTTTGATGCAAACCACCTAATTTCCTAAGGTCTTAAGCACTCAGTTGAAAAAAATCTAGAAATACATGTTAGGTGATATCACGTGCTCCTGAGTGAAGCCAACTTACTTGACTGTCTCTGGTGAGTGCAGATTACTCTGCTGTGCTCTTTACCCCCTGGGCAGGAGGCTGGATTTCTAAGTGCCAATTGGGTTTGCCACAAACATGCATTCTTTTTAAATGAGCTAACATGTAATCTCTTGGCTTGTGCCCAATTCTGAGGGTCTGCTTATAGAGAGATTTGATTTTTCTTTTGGGGAAGAAAGCCCTGAGCTTTCTACAGTCCCTCCAGGTGTAGCCTTCCTAGAGAGAGCTAGGAGAGTTCAATTTGGCCCACTGAGAGCATTACACTTATGTGCCCAGAAAAATGACTGAGTCTACTGCCACATTTTAAAAGATGAAGGACAGCAATGGGAACATACACTTCTGGGAGTGTCTTTGACAAACAGCTTTGTGTTCCTCCTGCCTGTGTGCTTGGATCTCTCTCGGAAAGGGTGAGTTGTGTAGTTATTTCCTTCAGGATGTATGGAGTGTGGAGAGACATTTAACTGCCCTGAAAGGTTTTAGAGTGGGGGGAAACAGTAATTTACTACTAAAAGTGAAGACTTAGGAAGATAGTTTGAACTCAAACATAACACTTATCCACTGCAGAAAATCTTTATATATATATATATATATATATATATATATATATTCACAATCTTTTTTTCCATTCCCCTTCCACTCTGTACAGGTTATTAACTGCTGACAAGAAATTCACATCTCATAAATAATGCTTAAGAGCCATTGCTATATAAATTGAGTGTGTTATGAATTGTGATGGGCCTTTTTGTAGCATTCGATGCCTAGAGCAGGAAGAACAGAGGATGTCATTTTCATTAATTTCTAATGAGGTGCCAATTAAAGACAGGGAAGATGTTCCAGAGGGAAGAGTAGCCAAGCTCCCCTGAATCCTCAGCCCCAGGGCTGTCATCCAAACACTACCAGCAAGCCTTCTCTAAAAATTCCATTAAATCACAGTCTCATCAAGAGCACACACAGGCACATTCAGCTTCCCTTTGATCTTCAAAAGAGCAATTTGTAAGGCGAGTTCTGAGTCTTCTATAGGGAACAGCTAGAGGTGATAGGAATTGTTAATTGCCAAGACACTCTATGGGCTTTCAACAAGGAGGTGAATTTTGAAGATGAATTCTCCTCTGCCTTGCTGTGACTAGATAACCTTTAAATCAACGATACCTGAGTAACACCCTGTTCCTGTGAAATCTTTCAGGGTGCCAATTAGGAAAGGCATGTGGTGAGGCTGGGATAATATCCTGCATCCTAGAGTATCTTCAACAGTTTAACTTCTTAAGATAGAAAACAATTGCATGAAAATGGATTTATTTGTTTCATTTTCTACTCAGTAGGCAAATTGATCAGCTCACTCTCATTACGGGAGTCTTGTCTCTCCAAATGCCACCTAGAGGATGTTCTTCTGAAATCTGGCCATCCTCATTAAATCTGGGCCACATCACAGCCATGTGAATGTAGTGTTCTCTAAGCAGATCTTGCATGGTAACACACAGCATGGCTTTTTAATCACTGTGCATTGCTTCCCAGAACCACAGAATTAATTTTTAAATACCAGTCCAAGACCTTCGTAAGTTATCGCATATTTTCAATTGACAGTGACTTAACAAACTGTAAGCTGATCTGCTCCCTTTTGGTACAACAGTGCTTTTACTAACCTCTCAAGTAATCCAACTTCCTTTATTGTTTTCAAAATAAATTTTAAATTCACTTTAGAAACTCAGAGTAATGCTTTAGCTGGGACCTTTAGAGTAGTTTATCATCTCTAAGTGCCTCACTGGTCATTTTTGCCTTATCATTCACTGCCAGACTAAATTCAGCAAGCATTTATTGAGATATGACTATACACAAAGCATTTTGCTAGGTTTTGTGGGGAACATAGAAGCTAGAAATATAGAATGTAGGAGCTTGTAGTCTAGGTCAGTGGTTTCCAACTTGAGTGGGCATCAGAATCACATGGAAGACGTGTTAAAACAAGATTACTGGGCCCAACACCCAGAGGTTCTGATCTAGTAGGTGTGGGCATATTTAACAAATTCTTGCCTCGGTGATGTTGATGTGCTAGTCTAAGGACCATGCTTTAAGAACTGCTGCTCTCGGCAGTTCTCACTCTTGGGAAGCTTTTAAAGAATACAGTGTCTGGGCTTCACTGTAAACAAGTAAATCAGAAAAAGTCCCCAGGTATTGTTTTTAACTTTTTATTTGGAAATTAAAAGTTTTTTCCAGGACCATTTGAGAGTAAGTTGCAAAAAGATCATGGCCCCTTTATCCCTATAAACTTCAATGAATGTTTCCTAAGAGTAGGGGTATGATTTTATAGAATCACAGTTATCAGTTTCGGTAAATTGATAATGATACAGTACTTTTATCAAATCTCTCGTCCATATTCTGTTTTTGTCAGTTGTTCTGATAATGTCGTTTATAAAAGCGTTTTTTCCCCTCTAGTACAGAATCCAGTAGGTATTGCATTTAGTTTTCATGTCTCTTTAGACTCTTTTAACCTGGAATGTTTTCAAGGCCTGTCTTTGTTTTTAATGATACTGACATTTTTTAAGGCCACATCTCCCCAACCCTGCCCCTACACTTTTTTTTTAATAGAACACTGTTCATTGTGGGTTTGTCTGATGTTTCTTCATGATTATATTCAAATTACATATTCCCAGCCAGAATGCTATGTAAGTGATATGTCCTTCTCAGGGTTTTACATTGGGAGGCAGAGATGTCCATCAGCCCTCATTGCTGCTGTTAATTTTGATTCAGTCACCCAGTCAGGGTGTTATCCAGTTTCTCCACAGTATAGTTACTATTTTTGCCCTTGCAACTAGTAGGCAATCTGTGGGAAGACATTTTATGACCACGTAAGTGACCTACTTCTCATCAAAAATGTCTCCTAGATTTAGCATCCATTGATGATTTTTGCCTAAATCAATCTTTACTATGATGGTTGCAAAATGATGATTTTTTCTAACTCCAGCCCTCCTTCTATATTTACCATTTGGCACTCAGTGTTCTTCTGTGAGAACCCCCCTCCCCTATTTA